CTCGGTGGCAGATTTCACCAATTCCACGGATCAACCTGACGACGATCGCATGGATGCTTTGGCTATAACTCCAGTCTGCTTGCGAGTGGCGCTTGCCGTCGATATGAAGTAAGTGGAACTTCGCCTCACTGCCTGATTCATTTTTGCTGACCATGGATCGTTTAGACATGGATACATCCCAATTTCTTCCGATGACCAGGTCTATCTTGATGAGCTACTGCGACAGCAAGTTGCTGGAATGGCAAAATGCTGTTGCTCAAATTGTCACTCGAGTTCAGCCCTCGGTTTTTCTCATGCCCAGCTTGAGATTACAACATCGACGTTTGATTCTTGGATTCAAAAAGATTATACTCTGCCAAACGCTACCCCGAATCTATTTAACCGAACTGTTTTGGCTCTATCTGATGAGCCTCTCAAGCCACTGGAAGTCTCTGAAGGAGACCCCATTCGTCGAGACATCCGATACATCAGGCTGTATCTCTGGCTTATAAAGGCTTTCAACAATATATTTGAATCTTATTATCCCGATCCTGAATTGTCCTATTTCACAGCAGAAGTGCTTTTCTCAAGTGACCTCGCTTGGAAGATAATTGGGAATCTCGGGCCTCTGACCAATGGCCTACCTTTGGATGCGATCTATGGAGGTGAACCACTTCCCAACACATATGTCAGGCTCGCCGAAGTAATGGACACCTGGCGACATAGCAGAAACATTTGGGCGGTTTTAGATCCCACTGAAGAAGAGTTGAATTATCATAAAAAGGCAACTCAAGATAATCTTCAATTTACTAGTCAAAAAGGCAATACTCGCAAGCGATTAACATCGTCCTAGTTTTTTATTACAACTATTCTGACAGCATGGTATCATCAGCTTTCTCATGTGCTTTATGTCCCCAGCGATATCGAGAGGGCCTTTTTTGAAGAACATCAGCCTCAAGATTATGTGCTAGCTTGCGTCTTCCAACTTCCAACACATCGAGCGGCATATCGTGGCTCTGCATATGCTGGGAATCCATTTCCGCCAAGTAGTCTTGAGCTACCCGCTGGAATTGAGCCATGGTCGCCTCGTTGATCTTGTGATCGTGTTTCTGATATATCGGTTGTAGTCCAGATCGGATCTTGAGTTGTTGAATTAGCTTGCGCAGCTGACCGGTTTTAGGCTGAATTAGTTATTCGAAATGAAACAGTTGTCTCACACACGTACAAATGGAATATTATTTGAAATGTCATTCATTAATTTTTCAATATCTGTGCCATTACCCTATAATAATATTGAAAGAAATAAAATATAATGACTATAATCAATTTTGGGATATCCAATAAGTTTGTGTAAACAGACTGACCGCGCGATTGTAAAAGAACTTCAGCCAGTAATTCATAGTTTCTAAGAAGAAGTCAGTAGCTACAAAATGACCCTGGCCGTCCCTGGTCGGAATAAGCATGCAGTGTTTGATTAAAGTGGCTAATGGTTTTGGGAGATCATGCTCCACTAAATTGATGAATCGAGTGATATGTCGAGCATAGCGAGGGAGGCCTTTCACACCATGAGCCATTAGAGACCATAATTTCCACATGGAAATACATCGTCCAATATCTCCACATTGCATAGCTTCGTCAGTCTCAACAACAGTTGCAAAATCTCGAATTCGTAATCTTAGGTTGTAGCCTTTCTTATTACCAGACACACGTGCTTTTTTTAAAGCACGTGGCGAGCAGAATTCATTATAGCATTTTTCAATCAACTTCTCCGCAACCCCTTCTTTTGAAAAGTCTGGTGGCCCTTCTTTGGATTCTTCGGTTATGATTTGCCTGTAAATTATGTACCACGCTAGCTTAAACTGTATCCCAATTATCAGTATAGAAATAAGAAATAAACTTACCTCAAACAGAAAGTGAGGGTAGCCATGTGTATCTGATGAATCGCTTGTAGGACCTGGTTAAAATCCATTTTCGCAGGTGGTTTACGTATTGAGCCTCCTAATGACTGCCACCATCGCCAGGCCCCAGTATCATTCTTCACACCAGGAGTACCCCAGTGCTCGCAAAGGATTGCTTGTGCAACATTCCACAGAGTATGAGAAGCGCCAAAGATTGTAATCAGATTTTGACCGGTATCGACATCGGAACCCGCTGGGAAGAGCTTCTTTCTCAAACTTTCAATCGCTTGACAAGTGGCCACATCACCATTAACCACCTGAATACGACTAGCACTTAATTCACGTGCTACACCGGTCTGTTGCAAAATACCGTCAAAAACATGACTAATTCCTTCGGCCGAGTTTTCTGAACAATCAAGCATCTTTAGCATATAAATCTCCGGATTGTATCGAGGGATTTCTTCGATCGGTGGTGGCTTTGAAGGGAGTTTGGTTGAAGGGCGTGGACCGTCGCCAATGATGTATTTATATAAACACTTTGTCAGCTGTGATTTAAGTGAAGCTTTCCAAGTGAGCTGTTCTTGAACGGTTGGCAAGAATGTCCATAACCGAACAGGTTTTTCTTGTGCTGTGTCGTGGTAAGCAAGGAATTTCTTCAAGTTACAGCTTTCAGACAATGGATCCATCGTTTGGGCTAAGTGAGGTGGGATCACATGGACATAGCCATATGTCCCTCGAAAAATCCATTGGTTTCCATCCACCCGTGCCTTTGACAAACGTCTCAGTAGGTCAATATTGTCGAAACAGATCATCGGAGGAAAGGTATGATTTTTCCTCATTACACGCTTCAGTTTGGCCTCATTAATGTCTCGTAATCTCCTCAATGCTTTTGTTGCTGTATCTCGTGAGCTACATAGGCCAATTGTGTGCAAATAAGAGTTCATACGTTCGGATACCCCCACCGCTAAGAAAGTCAATGCGTTATGCAGTTGAAGCCCGTTTTGTCGCCGATTTTTTGCAAAAGCAACCATAGCACAAGTGGTACCGGCAATCTGGGAGATTTAGTCAATCATCTGGACCATATTATCAAACAAAATCACTCAGTACTCACTAGGCGAGCACGAGTTTTTAGTTTATCTTGATGATTATGCTTTTTTGCATACAAAACGCCCTCTCGATGATTGATAATATCAAGATCATCCTCGGCGCCTTCTTCAGCTTGAGGTCCTTTGGTTTCGTCGTCAGAGTCATCGTTCCCAGTATTCTCTCCAGCTCTCAAAATCAATCCTCTGTCAGTGTTAGTCGCCGAGCCCAATAGCTTTGATTCGATTAAGGTATGTAAGAAATCCATGCTTTCCTTCACCTGTGTTGCACGTTTCACCATCTGATCTTCCTCAAAAAAATTTAGGGAAATGGCATCTGCCTTGTAGAACGAACCACCAGGATATTCACCCACAGGTAGGTTCTCGGAATCCACATAGAATTGAGCCTTCCGTACGTGTGTTCCAATTTGTCAGCATATAAATGCAGTGTTTATTAACCCAAACTGTAGTTACCTCGTCCAGGATGAATTGCCTCCAAATCATTCTGCCATTGGCACCCGAGGAATTGAGTAGGTCCTTGATATCGCGGACAATGTCCAATGTTGACTTTGATCCTTTGTTTGCCCAAAGACGACGCTTCACATTTAGCACAGGGTCGTTTGCGGACAAAAAAGCATGCACAAACTCCTTTGGATATATTCGTGGTTTGTGGTCCTCTAGAGTTTGACATATTGAGACTGTCATGCGGGTTATGTAAGGCCGAGACTGAATACTGCACTCTCTTTGCTTCATGTTTATCCAGGCTTTGGTGTTGAGATGATCAAAGTTTGTGTGGGGATGATCAAAGGTTGGGAAATGGCTAAATAAAGTTAAATGACTGCAACTTTAAAAAATTGCTTGCACACTCATTGATCACACCTGTTCAGGCATTTCTTCGGATTCTCACTGGAAACCTAATGATCAAAAATTTTCATGCAGACCATTTCTAGCTCAGCTTTGCGTGGGATGGGCGACCGAGCGGCGGCCACGCACCATGCGCAATTAGGCGCGCATTTGTGGGTACTTAATTTTATGTTAGGATGCTCAAAAGTTTTGAAACTCGAATTAGATGAAATTTTCTTGCAACGCGGGTCTGACATATTAAGTCGTAGTGAGGCCCACATTTACAAGAGCTCCTTGGAGCGACTTCACTCAAGGGAAGTGGTGCTGGAAGTGACACGTGCTTGTGTAGAAGGCTCAGCAGAGGCACTCCTGAATTTCATGCAACCTTTTACGATGTTTAAAGCCCTCACAAAGGGATTTCAAGCAAAAGTGCTCGAAATTCCTGCTGGTCTCAGGCCAAGCTCGGGGTGTATGCCCTAAGCCCCTCTTCGAGAGCGGACGTGGCCGCGTCGGAAGAGGGGCTTATGTTAAGCTTAGGACTTGGTTAAGTATCAATTTCAATCCTTTATGTATGTATCCTAACTTTCCCCCCCTTTTTTTGGATTTATGATCATACATATCGTGATAAGATTGTGCGAAGACCACTAATATGAATGTAATCCCCACCAAACGGGCCCTTGACACTTTGACTAATCTGAAGACTCTTTTGAACTCGATGGATTGGATCGTCCCATATCATAATACATTTTCATGATACTCTAATCCAAGTGACTCGGAATTCGTACTTTCAAACAAAACAAAACTTTATCGGAACGGAAAAAGTCATGATCAAACACCCATAACATTCCAGGACATTTTACAATCCCGATCCAACAAAACGCTTGATGTCTTGAGCCTGAACTTGGAAAACAAAACGAAAAAACAAAGGTGCATGGATGATTTGTAAAACCTCGCTTGAGCTGCAATTCACTCACGCGAGAGTTCCAAGTTCAGTGTACAATATTCCAGATGGATGACCAGATGAACTGCGTCAAGATTTTCCTAAATCGACTCCTATCAAATAAGAAATTTAGTATAATCCCTCATCACATCATTCAAGGTTTCAAGTCTATGGATCTCCTGATTTTGTTTTCATTCTTTTGTTTTTCGTAAAAAAAAATAAAGTGTCATTTTATAAATCTATATAGTGATTCTAACGATGTTGAAGAAACTAAGCTTTCTAGTGTTGGCGAGTGGTGTGACAATCGCATGGTGGTATCGAAGGAATTCAACATCAGGTAAGTAAAAATGATCTCCTTGTGGGTTTCTTGATCCGTTTACATTGTTTCTTTTAGGACCTGTTGTTGGTTTGGACTATGGCTCATTTCGAGGAAAGAGTTTGCATACACATGGTATTGAACAATTTTTTGGGATTCCATATGTCAGTGAATCTTTCAAAAGATCAGTCTGGTGATGTATGTATTAACTTCTATCTGCTTAAAAAGGCTGAACCACCAGTTGGAGAAAGACGGTTTACGAATCCGATTCCACCTCTTAGAACTTATTGGAATCATGACTCGACAGTAAGTCTACAAACCATCATCAAGTTCAAAGCAGATCAAGAATTTCAACAGTTTGTTTTGTTTTTGGATACTGAACTCTTTATATGAAATACGATCTTCTTAAATAACAGAAACATCCAGCAGTTTGTCCTCAACAAAGTTTAGGAGGAAATACATCTTCTATATATAAAGATTGGTTTGATAATTTAGGATTGAATCCATTGATGTATCTCAAACCATTTGGTTCTGGTCAAGAAGATTGTTTGACTGTAGACGTTTGTCAATTCTCCTAAACTGACTTCCATTCATCATTTCAATCCATCAAGACCAAGATATTTTGTCAACTTACTTTGTTTTCCATCAATCTTTACCTCCTTTACAGGTTACTCGTCCAACCGGTTTGACAAATGACTCAAAACTTCCAGTCATTTACTTTATATGTGTGTTATGATCTAAACTCAAACTCGATGATCATCAAAACCAAAACCAAAACTAACTTAAAAAAACAGATCCTGGTGGATACAATTACGGAGCAAGTTGGGAACTTACTGGAGTACCAATCGTGAAAAAGAGTATAGAAATGAATCTTCCAATCATCTGGGTCTCAGGAAACCATCGAACGAATGTTAAGTTTTTGATTTCCTAATCATCATCCTTGTTTTCCTATCTATCAAATCATCATCAAGAACTGAATGATCGGTTTGGTTTGGTTTGGATTATAGGCTTTTGGATTCTTGGGTGGAAAAGAAGTTGGGAAGGCTGGGGTTGGAAATTTAGGATTAAAAGATCAAAGGTTAACTATGCAATGGATTCAAGTTTAGTATACATCATTCTTGATACATAACTATAACTCTTTGGTTATGGAATTTCTAAAACATTAATGATTTGACTTTTTACAGAAATATATTTCACAATTTGGAGGAGATCCTGAAAAAGTAATCGTGTATGGAGAATCATGTGAGTTTTAACCTTGAGATTCAAACTGATCTGAACCACTTGTTCGACACTGAACGCTTGAGAATTGGTTGGTCTTACATTCACATCTTAGCTGGAGCGATCTCTATCTCTCACCACCTCTTGGCTTTCAATGGAAACCTCAATGGCTTATTCCGTGGTGCGATATGTCAAAGTGGTACAGCATTACCAGTAGGAAGTAAGCATTTTTGATGAAATTTGTTTGATTAGATTCCATTAAAATTCCAATGTCTTGTCTTTGAATTCAAAGAGTTTTCAGACGGAGCTGGTCAAAAAGGTTTTGATCTTTTGGTAAATAGATTAGGATGTCAAGACTCAAATGATAAACTAGATTGTTTACGACACGCAGATCTAAAAAAGATGCAGTAAGCTCAAACTAATCTTCTTTGCATACTTGACAATTTTCGAACTGATTTTTTAACATCTTTTTTGGTTTTGAAGGAATGTGATTGATGAACTTCCTGGAACATTTTCGTTTGGATCTTTTCCATTAACGTTTGGTCCAGCTGTTGATGGTGAATTTGTGACAGACTCTATTCAACATGCTTTGAAGAATGGTCGATGTAAGTTCTTGGAATCCAACTCTTTACCTCCATGTGATTCTGGTTAAAAAATCAAGTGCTTTGAACTACCGTTTCTTTCTTGATCGGTCTATCTAGTTGCCAAAGTTCCAGTCATCGTCACCGATGTTCAAGATGAAGGTACTATTTTGGCCATAGGATCTTACTCAGTCAAAACCGAAGATGAATTCCGAGAATGTAAGGCACAATCAATTCACCTTTTGCAACTCTTTATAAGCCGTTCAATTCTGATCTTTCAATTTACTTCAAACACTAGTCATCAGTAAAAAAGTTCCAAAAGCAAGCCCAGAGCAAATCGAAAAAGTCTTACAACTTTGGCCATCTGATCCAACACTTGGATCACCGTTCGGTTCAGGTACCAAGAATGCAGTCACACCTGTTTACAAACAGTATTCAGCAATCTTAGGAGACTTTGGATTTCAAGTAAGAAGAATATATATGTGAAAGCTTTCAAGAGAGTTTTAGAATATTTGATTTAGGATTTAGGATTTCTTTTTCTAATTAGGGTTTGAGAAGGTTGTTTCTTAGAGGAACTTGTGATTCGATGCCCACTTGGAGTCTTCTAGACCGAGCAGCACAACATTTTCCAGTAGTAGGTATGCAAGATTTTTTTTTCAAGGTATTTCAACCAAGAATTCAATTCTGATTTGATTTTGATTTCGGTATGGTAAGGTGCATTTCATGCATCAGATCTTCCAGCCGTTATTGGAATCACTCCAGGAAACCGATCAGAAGATTATCAAAAACGTTGGATTTCATTCGCTTATCAACTTGATCCGAATCATGAAGGATTACCTAAATGGGAAAAGTATGATGATCATCATTCATTACTTCTTATGGATCAAGATGGTTCGATTGGAATGGAACCTGATACGTTTAGAGAACATGAAATTGATTATTATTTAGAAAATTTAGAAGATTTCGTTTTTGCTTCTCCTTGATAAAATCAAAAACCTTGACTGAGGATTTCTTCTTTTTCAAATCAAAGCTTTTTTTGGTTTATACACGTTTGATTGTTTTGTTGATGTTGGTTTTCAAATCTTGTTTACTTTTGATCATTCACGATCTCACTATCTTTTCCATTGCATTATCTTTCATGTTGTTTGATTACTACCTGTTTACTTTGTCATCGTACTTATAAGTTGTGATGATATTCAAACCGTCTCCAAACTATCAGTTTCAATTTCACTGACACAAAACACCGTCGCGTGTTTCAAAGTTGGGATTTTAAAGTGCAATTTGATGATATACTTGTTTATAGGGTTAGTTTTCCAATTGTCCATGATCAGTCAATTAAGATTGCTTATGCTGGACGCAACACAAGAAATGCATGTCCATTTTGTAGTATACCCAATATAAAGAGACAGACCTATAAGTAAAGTAATTAGGCGGACTTTACATGAGGTTCAGAATTTGAGTTAAATCAGTCTGATGAAGGTGAGTTTCTGCAATGTTGCAAAAGGTACAACATTGCCAGGGTGATGGGCTGAACCATTTCACAGCAGGATTTGGGTTCTAGACATGAAAGATTAAAACCTTGTTTGTTTTCTTTATGGACTGGAGAGCAATTAGATCACAGAAGAAGGAAGATTATTTTGTTAGCCAGTGAGTTGGAAGTTGCTGTGGAAATGCTGAGAAGTGGTTTGGTAATACATGCTGGAGTGGCAGTGGGGTACCGGGTGATACATAAAGACATACAGCACTCGAGAAATTGTTGATTTGTGATTTTTTTTTAAATTTTTAAATTTTTCTTTCGAATTCGATTTGAAAAGAACGAACAACAGCCAAGGACCATAATGAGCAACTCAATGACACCATCCAGTTCGACTTCCAATCCAAGACCAACTCACAGAAGAAAACATTCATCACAATCCAATCCATCTAAACCGAACCCATCACCATCACCCTCGATCAAACTCAACAGTGCAAACCCACCCTTAAAACGATTAAAATTATCATCACCTGAACTATCATCTGAATTTCCACAGAAAACAGATGAATTTATAACCAATCAACAAACTTCATTTACTATTCAAGAATCAACTCAAGATGTGATTTCTTTAAATGATGATGATCATGATGGAAATTGGTCAACTGTTTTGAATTCAAAAACTAGTAAAGGAAAATCAAAAAAACAACAAAAGTTAATTAAACACCAACAACTTCATCCTGCTGAATTTCATTTCGATACACGAGGGTTTAAAAATGGTCGAATCATTCAATTAAAAGTAAGTCATTCCAATCAAATCAAATCACCACAGAAAAAAGATCTTCATTTCTAACTCTTGGTTTTTTTTCTTTGGATGGATGGGGGGAATGATTAGGATGTACGTGATTTAGTACTAAATATTACAGCAGATGAAAGATCACAAGACTGGATGTTAGTAAAAGTCAGTCTGATCCGTATTCCAAACCTCTCACCAAATCCTAAACCACAAGATATCTAATCCAATCGATAATCAAACAAACAGAACAAATCCAACATCTCCAAAACAGTAGTCTTAATGATCCCAGGTATCACACCTTTAACATTGGGTGTCGAAAAACCTAACACGAATCTAGGCATGCCATTTTCAATATCAAGTCAATCGACTCATTTACCAGCCTTTCAATCACTCTTTAGTCATGCTTGTCCAACTAAAGCAGGTGGGGATCGGTTAAGGATGTTTAGTTGTTTAAGTGTTTTTTTGACTTGTCAACTTTCGGCTTGGGCTAAAGCAAAACGTGATGAAGAAAGAAAGAAAAGTGAATTTATCTTTTTTTTTTGATTTTTTTTCTACGTTGCTTTTCAAACTCAGGAATAAATCTCTCTTCCAAATAAACTAATACTTTTCTTTTGATTTTTTTTTTTTTGATTTCTTTCAGATCAAAAAACCATTTCTTCATCTGATCCTACACTTTTCTTATTACAAGAAGAGATCATGACAGAACAAGGTTATCCTAAACCTAATTATCCGATCCCATTAACCGCTTCCGTACGACAAACTCAAAGAGAAAAGCATCCGATGAATTCAACTCAACCCATCCCATCCACTCGATTCGAAGAATGGATTCAATCAGATGGATGGATTCAAACACCTTGGATAGAATCACCTAAGATAGAAAGTTTAGGAAAACCATTAAAGTTAATCGGAATTGATTGTGAGATGTGTTTGACGGAGAACGGGAGTGAATTGACAAGATGTACGGTTGTAGGAAAAGATGGCAAACCGATCTTAGACGAATTAGTGAAACCTGAATCACCTATTATAAATTATTTAACAAGGTTTAGTGGGATGACGGAAAAAAGATTACAAGGTGTTCAAACTACATTGAAAGATGTTCAAATCAAATTAAGTTCGATGATCGATTTCGATACTGTCTTGGTCGGTCATTCATTAGAATGTGATTTAAGAGCACTTAAACTTTTACACCCTTGGGTGATCGATACCAGTGTGATTTATCAACATCCCAAAGGATTACCCATGAAACCTTCATTGAAATGGTTAGCACAGAAATGGTTAAACAAAGAGATCCAAGCCAATCCTCCACCTGGTTCGATGACTCTAGGACATGATTCAGAAGAAGATGCTAGAACGGCGATCGAATTGGTTTTAAAGAAGATGGAAAAAGGAACGGGCTTTGGAGAGTTTGTGAATGATGTGGAATCGATCTTTGAAAGGATGTCAAGAGGTACTGAACCGAAAAGAGTGGCTGTGATTGATCATGGTGGTGGGATGAATTCTTCAAAAGCTACTTCTTCAATGGTTTGTAAAACTGATGCTGAGGTATGACTTTTTTTTCTCATCCTTGCTATAACACTGCTTCGGTTGGTTGGTTTGATCATGGAGAATTAATGCAAATGTCTTGTTTGGAAAAATTTCATTATGAATTTCTTTAGGTTATTGATGGAATGATTTCACATTTAGAGAATCATGACTTCTTGTTTGGAAGATTAATGGACTTATCACATGGACTTGGATGTAAGTCATTCCAAAAACCACTCAATCAATTCTTTGCATCCATTCTTACTAAACACCATCCTAAATTCTTCTCGTACCTAATTCCAAAAAACAACAGGGTCAAAACCACCTACACCAAAACTATCACACGATCTACCAACCCAAGAAGAAAGTATACCAACCCATCCGATCTGTGAATCATCCATTGAAACTCTTTACGAAAGCTTATCGAATCAAATCATCAAACTGAACGAAGCCTTACCTAAAGGAACTGCTTTGATTATCTTTACTGGTCATGATGATCCAAGAGAGATGGCTAGATTGAATGCTATGAAATCAAAGTTTGATCAAGCTTTGAAGAACGGATCTACAACTGTTTCGGAAGAACTTAGGTGGATGAGTGCTCAGGAAAGACAATTGATTGATGAGGTTGAGAAATGTAAATTAGGAATGAGTTTTTTTAGAGTCAAATAAACTTGAATAGCCTTCATCATCATCTTCATGAGACTTTTGGATTGGATTGGATTGGATTGGTTGGAGGTTTGGTCTGATTGGAACTTCTTTTATATGTTTCTTTTTTCTCGCTTTAGGATTTTATTGGATGATCTTTTCCTTCTTTCTTTTAAGAATATTGATGAATTTTGTTTAAAATAAATAAAAAAAATTGGAATTAATTAGTTTGATCAGTTTATACTTTTACCAAAAACGGAATCATTTCTCTAAAGATAAAATTAATATATATCAGATTAAAACCTAATTACATAGTTCATTTTTCACTCTTTTTTTG